TCTGTCAAAGGACGAAAGCACAGCGTTGCAAACCCCAAGAATTTATGGCAAGCCAATGGCCTGCAGCACCAATGGAAGAACTTAGTATCGACTTAATGGGGCCGTTACCTACCAGCACTCGGGGACACAAGCACTTGCTGGTCATTGTTGACAAATTTACCAAATTCATTGAGCTCTTCTCTCTTCGTGCAGCAACAACACAGCAGATAGCCAGCCGTGTGGAAGAGTTCATCTGCAGACACGGGGTACCTACTGCTATTTCTAGCGATAATGAAAAGCCCTTTGTTAGTAAATTATGGAAGAACCTGCTTAGGCGATGGAGCATCTCGGAGCGCCACACGGTGCCTTACAGGCCAGCCGGACAGATGGTCGAGCGGCACAATGGCACCGCGAAGCAGTGCATTCGTGCATACTGCAATGAGCACAAAAACTGGGACCAACACATTCCCGAGATTGCTTTTGCAATGCGAACCGCTGTAACTGCTGCTACTGGATACACCCTAGTCCTCCTCTGCTATGGCCGTGAACTCCGAACACTCTGCCAACCAACCGAAGACAAGCAAGACGCTGAGCCTGCGGTATCATCTTCTCACGCATTCGCAGCAGAACTTCAGTCCCATTTGGCAGAGGTCATGAATGCTGCACGGCAGCATCAGCAACATGCTTGGCATGCCCAGAAGCAGCACTACGACCAGCGACGCCGAGCCACGACATTGGAAGAGGAAGGCAACATTGTCCTGTGAGAAACCCACATAGTCAGTGACGCTGCAAGAGGCATCTCATCGAAGCTGGCACCAAGGCGAAATGGTCCATTCCGCATCTGCAGACGTATTGGTGCAAACACTTTCAAGCTCGTCCACCCACAGACTGGGAGAGCTTGTGGCGAGGCCCATGCCGACCAGCTCGTCAAATACCATCCTCCATGGTCAGCGGGGAGCTTCAAGGGGGGGACGGGCTGTGAGGACATCCATTGGTAGTGTTGGGGGTATGTGGCGCCCCCTGGGCGTGGTGGCAACAGTGGACATCCGGCCTGTGTGCGGGCAGTGTGTGCGCGGAGGGTGTTGTGGTTGGACGTGAGTGGCGGGTGATTCGAGGAGTGAGGCCTAACGAACACGAACGAGCATGACAGGTTGACTGTGTTGCCTTCAAGACGGCATTAGACATTACTTTAATGTCAGAGGTGGCGAGGTTTAAAATGGCTGCCGCAGCAAGCGCTTGCAGCTGACAATGTTTGGGGGAGCGGGGGAAGAGAGAACAGGAGGGAGCCGGGAACCAGCTTTTCGGATCAAGTCGCAGGAATATTTCTAGGGGAGGCGTTGTTTGAGAGCTAGCACAGTCGGTGTAGCCAAAGCCACAGCAGAAAGGTGATCCACTATTGCGTGGAGGCGAAATTGGTCTGGGACCGATTTTTTTCGCATTGGCCTCACGGCATTGTTTTCTCGCCACTTTTTTGGAAGCGAAGCGAGGAAAATTCCGGTGAGTTTTGCCGCATTCGCTCCCTTTGAGGCCAATGGTGAACAGGCCTTCCTTCCACAGACAAGCCGCGTTGCGCCGCTCGCGTGCTGGGGTCAACGGCGCATTTGTATTATCTGCAATTGCTGGGGAAACCAATCGTATAACACCAAGTAACGGCATATTTTTTATAATGTAGTTCATCTGACGCAACTTTAGAATTTGTATCATCGTGAAATTCACATCAACCGTAATCGTATCATTGAGATTTTACTGCACCTTTTCCCGTGAGTGTTTGCGCGCCCGTTGGAGGTGCTGGTGTGCTTGAAAATGGTTTATGCATTGTGCAGCTACGTGCGACGCTGAAGCGGAATCGCGCAGCAATTCAAAAACTCACGAGTGTGACTAAGCGATGCTGCGGGCTGAAGTGGCGCAACTCTTCGATAGCGCATCGAAAGATGAAGCACTGAATGGGTTTCAATAAAAAGCAATGATTGTTGTCTTTCTACACGTAAAAAGAGTGTTGGTTGAATTTGTTTATGCTAGAATTTGTGGAGTAATATAAAAATTCAGTTCCCTGAAGTAGTAAGTACAGCGTTTCATGGTAACTCGCAAGCTGAGCAAGTCAGAAAAAGTGCGTCTCATACAGCAGTGCGACTTATATGCCAATATTTTGTTTAAAACCTGCTGGAAGTGGAGGTTGCGACTCATAGATCGCAAAAACCCAGTATTTATTTTATTGAAAAGAATGCGAAAAAAACAAAACAAATTTTCACTGATTTTTTTGCCTAAAACTTGATTGCATTTATGCAAAGACAAAGCATGAATAACTATATATTTTGTTAAAATTTGAATACTAGTATTAATTACTATAACACATATAAAGTGGTGAATTGTGGCGACCAATAGAATGTTAAGTGCCTTCAAATAACTTTGTAGTGATTTGACTAATTTGCAGACAGTCTGAAAGGGTTACAATCGACAGGGTTCATTATGAATTGGCTTAACCCTTTGAGTGTTTTTACTGTGCATGTACAGCGGCGATTTCCTGTTCCACAGTGTCTTTGTAGTAAGGGCACGTTTTGACACTCTCATTTAAGTTTCACGCCTTTTGCAAGAAATTCAAGCAGTCTGCGGTAATGCTGATGAGCCATGCCTTTTTGTGGTTTTGGTTTCTCCTCATGCTAGTCACAGAGGCATGCAAAACTTGATTTTTATTTTTATCAGCACTCCCTTGTGTAAGTGGTGGAAGTTGGTTCCCCTTTTGATTGGCCCTGATCTTAGCCTGTATATCACTGACACTCGCAGGCTTATTCTCTTTGTCCTTGATGATATCGAGATTACTCTCGGCAGCTGCACACACAAAAAATGCCGTGTGTTTGCTAGTACACCTCTGTCACTCAAAGAAGCAAATAGAAACGCAAAGTATGCAGGGTTCATGCACCAAAATTCAAGGGCTTTCAAGGCTATGTGTGCGAATTTTCAAGGAACACATTGTCTGTTAGAAACCCAACTAACACATGTCCAGGGAACAATAAAGGCTTGAAAGAACTAAAATTCATCGATAAAGGCTAGTATCACTAGGAGCAGACGTCAAAAACATGGCTCCAATGACATTTTCTTTCTAGACAACCTTCAATCATAGTTTCTTGAAATTGCACAGGTAATTTCTTTCAGTATATGACACAAGTTGTAAACTTTTATTCAGATAGGAAAAAGAAAAGAATAGTTATTATGCAATGCCTTGTTTCTTTTCCTGAGTTTTCATATCATCATCGACCATGTCCTCCAACTTGGTATTGGCAGTCAAGCCAAGGCTGTGTGACTGGATGGTGCACGTCAAGTCACTGTCTCTGCCTTTTCGGCATATGAATAATTGTTAATTCTTAACAGCAGCTTCTAGTTTCTTTTACGATTTTGTACGCAATCTGACCTCTTCCTCAATGCAACATTTACATTTCTGTTTCTCATCCTCCGGCTCCAGCCTTTTCAGAGTTTCCAGAAATGCATGGTGTTGGTTCCATGCAGAAGCTACTAATATTTTCAATTCTTTTGTGATGGGCACATTACATATGTCACCAGCAACATTTACGGCATTACAAATAATGCACTGTAAAATGTGCGACAATGTTTATTTAAAAGACAGAAAATTCAACTATTTTCAAGCATTTGCGAAAATTCCAGAATTTTCAAGACTTTGAAAATGAACCAATAAATCAAGGGTTTTTGAGGATATCAAGGACCCGCATGACCCCTGGGTATGCGTAGGTCCGTGTTTCAAGGAATGCCAAAATGTTGTCCAATGTTTTGCAGTTCTGAGTAATGCTGATTCAAAAAACTGTTCCTGTTTTTCTTTACAATTTCTCCGACGCATTTTGTACATAAAAAAAATAGCCCTAAAGTAATTTGACCATATGGAAAAGCTCTTCTGGCCCTCACATGGTTTTTGCACTGCCTCCGTAATCAACAGATCAGTTGACCAAGTGACAAAGTCATGTGGTGACTGTGACATCATAGTGATGTCAGAAATTTTGGCAATCTGTCACAGATAATGTCATGTGGTAACATCAACGCTAAAACTTTTGCATTACTCGCGTGGATGCTGACAGCGCCAAAAATCCAAGGTACGCATTTAACGAGGCATCTTATCTTTTCGCCTTAACAAAATGTTTTTTATATCAGCAGATGTGGCAGACAAATGTCGCTCCATAGAACACTGCATGAATGTTGGTAGGATTAAGTTTTGGGGGAGGCGGAGCTCTGGTTGCTTGACGGGCAAGCTTTGGGTAAATGGTGAGCTGAGGGGGAGGGCAAGTGCCTCCTTTACACCTCCAACGCCCATACCGCAATGCTAAAGGCCACATGATCCCTTCTTATGCATCCCCAGAAAGCAGAAGCCAGACTCATTTGCTTAGCAGTAAATCGTATATATCAGCTCGATTGATTCCTGAATATTGCTTTTAATTACATACCCTGCAGAACTTGAAATGAACTACCATTAAGCACACTTACAAAACCAAAGCTGCAATGGTAACATGCATGACATCGTGGCTTTAGCGGGATGCACGTGCGTGTGCTGTGAATTATTAATCCTTGGTTGGTGGCTCTGACTTTTGTGAACCTGCACATGTTTTGATGTGCCACCGGTGCAACTACCAGTGACAGGCTCCGTCGAACCCGAGAGCCTGGTGTGATTTGACATAATTAACGTGAATTTTATCTGGATAGCACATTAAGTCTCATTTAGTTGGCACAGTTGGTGCAGCAGTGGAATCCTGATAGTGCATTGATCAATTCAGAAAATGTTGATATGTGACAAAGTGGAGATACCTCATCTTAGATACATAAGCATACAGAGAATGACAAAACAGCTTGAGCTATTGCATATTAGAGTCATCATGATTTGAGCAATGTCCAGGCTGTACCATTCCAGCGGCACGTATGAGCAAGCATTGCATGCCTACCCAAGGTGTATGATACTATAAGCAAACATGGTTGGATAGACACCAGGGAAATAAAAGGGGAGGCAAAAAAAAAGAAGGAATCACCTGCCATGGCCTGAGCACATTGAGGGGCAAAGGTTCCTCTGCTTCCCCATTAAGCATCTCCAATCGAACAGTGGCCATCTCCAGCTCGTCAAGGGCTCCCACATAGTCCCTGGTGCTCATGTACACCGCCCGCATCGCCTGCGCAGAGGCATGCCACAGAACGTGAGCAGTTGTAGCACTTGTTGCGCGCAGTGGACAGCTTTACACTCATGAGATTTCAGCAGAGTGGCTTAGCTATAGACACAGCTTTCGAGCAGCATTACTAGTTGCCCAAATAAAAACTCGAGAAGTCTATGTTGGGGGTTAGTTGCTGAGACATAAATGAAAAACTGCGCTAACGACGAGGCACCAGAGGGGACAACACAGACTAACCACTGGTTTATTAGAACCACCCTTATGAAACAAACTAAGCGCATGCGCAGTGACAGTCATTACCACGTAACAAGTTGCACCACCCTCAACACTCTTATCAAGAAAATCACACTCTCATCATGTCCAAGAGGCCTTCAAGATTTCTCTTGTTTTTGGCTTGTCTTTGTAGCTACTGAAGATGGGCTTGCATACCTGCAGCCCACTCCCGTATTTCAAAGACAGCAAACACTGGTCGTACTTGCCACGCACGAACAAGGCCCTTTTTCCAGTTCATTCCTCGAAGCTTGAGAAAAGGAGAATAGCGATTTCATGCTCATCTTTAACCAAGTCATGTCGCCACAATGTCGAAGATAGTTTCTCTTCACAAGTGAGTCATCTTCAAATTGCAGGTTTCCCGCATACGCTGCTTCAGGCTGTAGGAGAGTCACTATTGAGTGTCATATGCCACCGTACCACGGCCGCTGACGGAAAGGCAAAAATAAATGAGTCCAAGAGTGAAAAGAGGAAGTTTCAAGTGATGCTGTACATACAAAAGGTGTCGCACGGCATTTAAAGGGTCGCGAGAAGATACGGTGCCAATAGGTGCCAATGCAGTTTTTTAAGTGCCTTCCAAGTTATCGCGTTTATGTGCCATGTCGAAAGCGGGCAAAGTTAACAATGGAAGATGTAATGATAAGCACAGACATGCGTATGTACCCTGTACACTGTCATTCTTTATGAAAGGGAACACGCGGACACGTGGCCTGCGCTCTGCGGCGGCTGCCTACAGCACCATCAACCGACAGCAAAAGAAAGCACGTTTGCTTTCAGCGACATCTGTTGCAAAAAAAAAAAAAAGGTAGACACAAGCTGTTAGATTGCACTCCATCTATGCTCACGCCTGCAGTGCGTAGTCCACTGCCAACATATGAAACGTTGTGCGCGACCACGGCACAAGCTGCAGTAATCCCCGATATTGCTTGCTGCGCGAACGGTGAGGGAACATAATCTAGCAGCACTTCTCTACCAGCCATGACTCGTTATCTTGCTTGACCATCATCATCCCCATCAGCCTGACTATGTCCACTGCAGGACAAAGTCCTTTCCTATGTTCCGCCAGTCAGTTCGGTCTTGTGCTTGCTGCTGCCGATTTATACTCGCAAACTCTTTAATCTCATCTGCCCACCTAACCTTCTGTTTCCCCCTAACTTGCTTGCCTTCTCTGTGCATCCAGTTAGTTACCCTAAATGACCGATGGTTCTCCTGTCTACACGCTACATGCCTGGCCCATGTCCATTTCTTCTTCTTGATTTCAACTATGATATCCTTTGTTCCCTGATCCACTCTGCTCTCTTCTAGTCTCAAATTCATATCAACTTCTAGACTCAAATATCAACCTCATTCATACTGTCATTCATACACCTACCATTTTCCTTTCAATCGCTCACTGCGTCGTCCTCAATTTAAGCAGAACCCTTTTTGTAAGTCTCCAGGTTTCTGCTCTGTAGCTAAGAACCAGCAAGCTGCAGCTGTTGTATACCTTCCTCTTGAGGGATAGTGGCACAATCTACCAGTCATGATTTGAGAGTGCTTGCCAAACGTGCTCCACTCCGTTCTTATTCTTCTAGTTACTCCAATCTCGCGGTAAGGCTCTGCGGTTATTATCTATCTCAAAGCCCTGTTCCCTTCCGAGGTTGTTGTACATTACTTTTGTTTTCCGCAGATTATATCAAGACCTACCTTTCTGCTCTCCTTGTCTAACTCTGTAATCATCAATTGCAATTCTTCCCCTGGGTTACTTAGCAATGCAATGTCATCGGCGAAGTGCAGGTTACTAAGACACTCGCCATTAACTCTTATCCCTAACTCTTTTCACTCTAGATCTCTGAAAAACCTCCTGTAAGCACGCAGTAAATAGCATTGGGGAGATTGTATCCCGCTGCCTTACACCCTTCTTGATTGGTATTCTTTAGCTTTCTTTATGAAGCAATATGGTAGCAGTTGATCCCCTGTAGATTTCTTCCAGGATGTTTATTATATGCTTCATCGACACCCTGATTCTTCAGTGTCTGCATGACTCCTGATATTTCTACTGAATCAAATGCCTTCTCGTAATCTATGAAGGCTATGTATAGTGGTTGGCTATATTCTGAGCATTTCTCTATAACCTGATTGATAGTATGAATGTGGTCGATTGTTGAGTAGCCTGTTGAGTAGAAAGGGTAGCAGGTATCGTAATTAAACTCAATAAGAGATACAAGATGAAGGTGATACAGGCCTATGCACTTACATCAAACCATGATGACGTATTACAGTTGAAAGCTTCAATCAAGACGTTGAATCGGCAATGAGTAAAGTAAAACACAGTATATACTATACTGATGGGTGACTTCAGTGTCAAGGTAGAAAAAAAGGAGGTTGGAGATCAGGCAATAAGGGATTACGACACCGGTGCTTGAAATGCCAGAGGGGAGCTACTAGTAGAATTCACAGAACGCAATAATTTACGAATTTTGAATACCTTCCATTAAAAACAGGAGAACTGTAAGTGGACATGGAGGAGCCCTAGTGGCGAAAATAAGAATGAAATAGACTTTATACTGAGTGGCACACCCAGGCATCGTGCAGCATGTGGAAGTGCTTAGCAAGCTACGACACAGTGACCATAAAATGGTACGGTCTTGAATTCATCTAGACTTGAAGAAGGAATGACAGAAACTGATACGCAAGAAGCCAATCATTGAGCTAGAACTGAGAGGGAAGGTACAAGAATTGAGCTAGAACTGAGAGGGAAGGTACAAGAATTCAGTTTCACTTCAGAACAGGTATTCAGCTCTTATCGAGGAAAACAGCCTTAGCGTTGACACAATGAACAATAATCTGATGAGTATCATTACCGAGTGTGCAGTGGAAATTGGAGGTTCTGTAGTTAGACAGGACACTGGCAAGCTGTCCCAGGAAACAAAGAATCTTATTAAGAAGTGTCAAAGCATGAAAGCCTCAAGTACAACAGAAAAAATAGAACTGGCAGAGCTTTCGAAGTTGATTAATAAGCATAAGGTATCCAATGCAAGAAAGTATAACATGGAGAGAATTGAACACGCTCTGAAGAACAGAGGAAGCATCACAGCAGTGACGAGAAAACTTGGAATAGGCAAAAATCGAATGTATGCACTAAGGGACAAAGAGAGCAAAATAACTACCAATCTGGATAGAATAGTTAAAATAGCAGAGGAGTTCTACAGAGGTCTGTACAGTAGCCGGGACAACTACGACCCTAATATAAGAACTAGCAGTAACCCAGATGACACCCCACCAGTAATGATAGAAGTCAGAAAAGCCTTAGAGAGCATATAAACAGGCAAAGCTGCTGGTGAAGATCAGGTAACATCCTATCTGCTGAAAAATCGAGGACAGATTGTGTTAGAATAACTAGCGACCTTGTTTACGAGGTGTCCCCTGACAGGAAGACTACCAGAATCTTGGAAGAATGCAAACATTATCCTAATAGGAAAGGAGATGACAAGGACTTGAAGAATTACAGGCCGATCAGCTTGCTCTCCGAAGTATATAACCTGTTAACAAAAGTAATCCCCAACACAATTAAGACATTAGAATTCAATCAACCAAAAGAACTAGCAGGATTTCGAACAGGCTACTCAAAAATCAACCCCATTCATACTATCAATCAGGTAATAGAGAAATGCTTGGCCATAGTTGACATCAAAAGCGAACGTGCTTTCTTCCCTTGTCAGTTGATGATGCTGTAGGCAGCCGCAGAACGCGAGCCACCTGTTCGCGTGTTTCCTCTAATAAAGAACGACAGCATACACCTGAAGTGGTCTACGAATTTCTTCTGACCTGTAAAATGGCTTATGTGGGGCAGACCAGGACAAGAGTTTGATGAAGCAAGCCAATTTATTGGGAGACAGCAGTTCATTGACGGGCATGCGCGCAGGGATGCAAGTAGCACCAAAGTGATAGGGCGAGCTGCAAGAAAAATCTTGGATTCAGGCCTCTTGGATATCAGACCTCTGGATAGCTAGACACCGACCTGATCAGCAACACATCTGCATATTTTTCTAGGAAAGAGTGCGATTTCCTTTTTAGTAGATGCCTTGGGGGAGGCGCACTTTGTCCTGTGGCCATGACATGCTTAGTTTATTTCAATAAGCCAGTTGTTAGTCCGCGATCATCTTGGCCACTTCGTTTCTGGTGTCTCGTCTCTAGTGCGGTTATAATCTTTCAAGCACCTTTACACAAGAGGCAGCAGGGTGTCCAGCCCTCGTTTTGTCTCTATTGTGCATCTCACTAAAGCACCGCGAAACAAGGCACTTAATGCAACACTTACAGTACATCTTGTGTGGAAGTTTGGTGCAACCGGGAGACCCTACGAACAAGTGCTGTTAGTTTACTCCACATGGCTACAGCACACATACAATCAAACAATAGGAAACAACACACAGTGCTGTGTGTGTTTGATGCAGGGGTGTGTGCGTGTGTGAGTGATCGTGTCGTGTTTTTGCGCTCCAATTAACTTTTAGAAATGCTCTACCAACTAGCCCAACAAAAAGTTCTTTTACAATGCTTTTATGAAGACGTAGAGTTAGCCATTAATAAAGTAAAAACACAGTATACTATTATTATGGGCGACTTTAATGCCAAAGTAGGCAAGCAACAGGCCGGAGACCAAGCAGTGGGGGAGTATGGCATCGGCTCTAAAAATGCCAGAGGAGTGTTATTAGTAGAGTTCGCAATATGCAATAACTTAAGGATTATGAATACCT